CTTTTTTGCATAAAAGGAGACTGATCTGCTGATAGCATCAGAAAGCATTTAGTTGGCAAGGCAGTAAACTTTCAGACTAAGGTAGAAGGCACCCACATTTCAAAGTGAAGGGAAGCAGAATAGGGTCATAAATCTTCATGGGGTGGGGGTGATTTGGGAAGAAGAGCCAACAGCAAATTTCAACCAGAAGGCAGTTACAATTCCTAATTGGATTCTCCATTTCACCAACTTCCAGAGGAGAATTTCAACCAAACTAAAATCTCAAGATGAACTTTTCAGTAAAGGAAAACAAAGTCTCTGTGACAACAACCTATTTTTGGTCTTGTTCAGCAGCATATCAACATCTCTATGGGTTATTTAATGCCAAAATCTAAATATTTTGAACACAATTTTATGGCTTCAATTAAATATTTTGAATGCAATTGTATGCCTTCAACTACAGATAAAATGTATTGCTGATTATGTATTGTTGATCTTTTTATATAAAAATGTATTGCTGGTATTTTTATTATTAAAATGTATTTTTACATTTTCATAGTTTTTTTTGTTTGGTGGGGGCTCACTATTTACCCATAGCTGGGACTCTAACAGGTTCTACCATCCCACAACAACCTGTTCAAAGCACAAAACCCCTTTGTGCTGAGATATTCGTATCCCATTGTAGAAATTAGGTGGGTGCGTTTTTGTATTTAATGCCTTGTGCAATTTTTGCATCCTCAAAGTTTTTTCATTTTCAAAGGGTGTAATCATTTGATTGTTATCCACCCTTATTTTTTGTATAAGGTGCACAAAAGGAAATTTTTGTGCAATGCTCTCATATGCAAATTTTGTATTGTTTTGTCTGTGTACTGTAATAAATGTTTGTCCTTTTAAGTTTTGCATAGTGGTCGAATTTTGTTTGTTTTGCACCTTATTCAAATTTTAGGGATAAGAGAGGAAAATGTTCTTTTCCTATTACTTTTTCAAAATTTAAATTTTTTACAACTATTGAGAAATCAAAGTTTTCATATACTTCTTAGCCCAAATTACACATTTCTCCTTGTGGCATTTACTTAAACATTGTAGTTTGATTGCTTTCATGTCTTTAGCCAATGTTCTTAATATTTTGTATTTTTTTCTCTTGATTTACATTTGCAACAACAGTTTCAAGTATTTTCTTGTTGGCCAGTCCACTTTTCTTGCTCATCATCCTTTTAGTTTTTCTCAAATCTTTTTGTAACATTCTTGCTACAGCCTTCTTTATTTACTCTCATATATTGTATTTCAAGGAAGATATCTGTACAAGTAATAATACTGCTTAACTAGTTGCTGATTTATCCAATAGATGATCATACTTGACAAATTAAAAACAGATAAGATATTAAATAATATTCATATTGGATTTGGGGATTTATATATTGACAGCCAGAATCAATTATAAAAAAGCGTACCTCAAGCCCTGATATATCAGAATATTTTTTGGCTGGTTTAAAAGATGGTGGCCCTTCCATGCTAGTATCTGCAATGAGATTAAAAAATGGTACCTTAAAAAAAAGTCTCCACAACATAAAACATAATAATAAAATGTGGACATATTATTGATAGTTTTGATATTAAAACCTGTCAAAGATGTATACAGATAAATGGAATTCTACAATCAATACACTGATATTGTCTCTCTCTCTTATCAGTTTTAAATAATATCAAAGTGATTTTTTTTTTACTGATAATAATAATTTTTGATACTTCCCAAATACAGTATAAAAGCTAATAAGATTTATTTTGACTTCCAATAGTTATTTTGTCACTAATTGTCTGAATATCCTTGCTAAGTACAGTCCTGAACACAAAACATAATTTCTATAGTTAGTGAGATAAATAATGAGATAAACAGTTATTTTAAGTTTAAATTTCATGTGAATTTGTGTTTAGGTGTTTAAAAAGCAAAATGAGCAAACCAAATTTGAATTTTGGTTATGAATTCTTACATCACTTTGTCCTGATGTGTTTGAAAAAAAAAAAAAAAAAAATCTCTTAAGCACTGTTCTATCACAGCTCAAGTTTAGTCTTGTCACTGGCATGTCATAGTGATAAAGTAGGAAAGAATGAATCAGAACAATACAGACAATCCATGGCATCCAAATTTGGAAATAAAATTAGAGATACATTTAAAAACATTTTTAACCAACAACACTATGGGATTAAATGAATTTTATTGATATAACATTTAGTGTGGATAAATCTGCAAGTAGTACCCAGCTATTAGTATTGTCAACTGAAATTTAACTTTAGCCTTACTGATTGTCCTAACACAGTTCAAAGTAAGCTCCATACAAAGTTTTACTTAACTGTGTTTGGGCATCTATCTATTATGAATTCAAAGTTTGTTTGATTTTTTTTTTTGAATGAACAGAAATCAAACTTTAAAAGTTTATCTAATAGCAGACAATGTCTTAGGTCTGAAAACTAGTTCATATTGCAGTAAAATTTCATTGGTTAAATTTTTCCACTGTTTATAATGTATATATTTACTTACATGTAACTGCATCAGCTCCCCAAGTTAATGAGCGTTCAGAGGCAATAATTTGTTTCAAATTTTTCCATCCTCTTCTTTTTGCACCTGAAACACTTTTTGTTGAGTGCTAAAAACAAAAATGTCAATACTATTAGAAAAGAATTTCGTATTACATACATGATATAAGATAATTAATTTGAGCAAGTATATAATTTCTATTTTCAAACACATACATTCATATATAACACATTAAATACATTAGTTGCTCACCGTAATGAGACTGAGTAAAATTTTGCCATAAAAAATGCTACTCTAATTAAAAGAGAAAACAATTCACTAAGACGAAAATGTATAGAAAGTGCTTTAATTGCAAGATCATCCACAGTAAATTTGCATCCAGGTTCTTACATTTCACTATTCTTGGCAGATCTATAATCACAATATGGTATATTTAATAACATAAGTGATGGAAACACAAATAAAAACAAAAAGAATTTAAATGAAATTGGATAGATTATCTACCCAAAACACATAAAACACACACACACAAAAAACACACAAAAAAAAACCCATCTTTAACTCTAAAATTTCCGGTGTCTCTCCTTTGTGTACATGTGTAGTTGCATCAACGTAAACATAAACTTAGTCTGAAAGTCTTAAACAATGAAATGTGTCACACAAAACCTTTTTTTTTTCATTTTGTTATACTTCTTTCCCTTAATATGTGGAAATCTATGACAAAGTGGGAAAATTTTTCACGTGAGAGTGTTTTGTCCTTTAGGACTTCATCAGACTAATGTGATGTTTATGTTGATATAATTACACATGTGCAAGAAGGAGAGAGGGATGCTGAGAATTTAAAATTTTTCCCCCCATATAGGTGTGTGTGTGTGTGTGTGTGTATGTGTATATAGTGTGCTGAATGGGCATGTGGCCGAGTGGTTAGAATGTTCACATTCTGACCATGAGACCCGGGTTCAAATCTCACCATGGTCGATTTGTCAGGAAGGTGACTTCCTGATGTTATTGGATTGGAGGGGTTGATCCCAACATGTAGAACCATATCATGGGTTGACTCAAGCTTTGTGAGTAAAATTAAGTAGACGGAACCCTTGGAAGCTGTTGATAGCTGGGCTAGCATGAAGTCACAAGTCATTGTGACCAAAGGTTTGAGTGTGCTGGCCTTGTTCAAATTGTTGATTACGCTAGATAACATGCTCTTTCCCAGAAACTGTAACTAAGGTCTGCTCAGCATAGTCGCAGTATAAACCACAGGTGGGCTCTGTGGGTGTTGAATAAACACAAATGCAACCCTAACCCCACCCTAGTAGATGGGTATCCTTGAATATGAATGGCCAGCTATACATACATACACATAGTATGCTGAGTATTTGAGAACATACTGATAGCAGGACATCAATGGAATTCTAACATCAGACACATTAAGTACATTAACATGACAGCTTCCAAAATGAAAAGATATGCTGTGCTTGTGGTGCTAGCTGCCAATCACAGCGACTTTGGCAAGGTTTTGAAAGAGGCCAAATGAATAGAAAGAATGACAAGTAGCACAAACCTCACACAGGTACTCATGATGATACACAGCCAGTTCACATTATCTGTGATGGCTCTGGAGAATAATAATGAGAACTGTGTCATATTGCCACATTTAATACTACCTATAGAATCTCAGGGTCAATACCATCACTTATATCAAGGTGCTGGACATGGCAGTGAAGCACTAAATCAAAGAGTTGGCTGTAAATGTTCCAGCAGAACTGTCCCCTCACACATTGCTTACCAAGAATTTTCCCAATTATGTCACATCCAACATATGCCTTCCTAGCTTTCATCATTTGAATCACTTAGATGATCATGAAAAGAAGACTAAACAGTAGCCTCATAATACCAAGTATTCTTTGAAGGTTACCATCAAGGATTTGATGATCCATATGGATAAAAGAACCACCTGATTCTGGTATGCAGTTTCTTCTGAGGTGATATCAAAGTTGAGGATGGTTTTATTGAACATTTTTTTCTTTATCTAAGTTGAACATGTATAAAAATTCTTTTGGAAAAGATATTTTTTCAATTGACTATATATGTTTTTCTTTATAATATAGCACTTTGTACACATATACATTACTTGTGAGGGTACTTCAAAGTTCTTGGCACAGGCAAACGGGGATTAAAAAAAAACCTGATTGATTTTGGGAAGTGATACTTTTCAGAATGTGTGTAAAATCAAAAGAATGGCTTAATATTTATCCATGTTTTTCTAATATTTCCTTGGAAGTTTTCATGTGTAGTAAACTTGTAAAAATGAATATTTTGTATGAAGTGGAAAGACTATATTGAATCCATTGCTGGGTCAGCTGTTAAAGACAGTCTCTCTAGAATCTATCTTACATATCTATAAGTCTACCATTCATCCATGCTTTGATATGCTTTGAATATTGCTGCCACATATGGTGCGGTGCCCCTGCTATTTACCTTGAGATCCTTGATAAGATCCAAAGAAGAATCAGCAATATTATGGGTCCTGTTCTGGTGGCTCGGCTTCAGTCACTTATCCACCACCATAAGGTTGCCTCTCTGTGTCTTTTCTATAAATATCTTTATGGTAATTGTTTGGATGAGTTCTTCGTTATGGTACCTAAACTTTATGAATTTAAGTGCAATACTAGACTAGCATTGAGATCTCATCAATTGATGGTTGAGCTGGCGAGATGTAGCTGTAAGTTCTATGCTAACAGTTTCTTTTTCTTGCACTTCTCACTTGTGGAGCTCCCTTCTGGCTTCATGCTTTCTAGACAACTTTAATCTGCAAAAATTTAAATGCATTGTCAATTGCTATCTACTGTCCTCCTGATTACTCTTTTCTTTTTCGACTCATTATTGATGTTTCTGTTCCTAATTTTTTCACACCCTGTAACCCCTTGTGCTCTTGTGGCTTTACTGCCTTGCATGGAGTGATACCGATTTAAAAAAAAGTTATATAATTGCTGTATAAAAATATTTATAATTAAAACTATTGCATTTTACAATAATGGTTTTGTAATATAAGCAAATGTACTATTATATTATTAAAAAAAAGACTTTATTCATCAGAGATGCAAAATAACATTCATTATAAAAGCAATTATTCTAAATAATATAAAATTGTAAAACATTATTTACATTATTTATCCTCAAAGGTAAGAATTAAGTTCTATGCCAACAGTTTCTTTTCTTGCACTTCTCACTTGTGGAAAACTATTCAAGGTTCCACGTTTTCCAGCCATCTTTAAAAATTTAAATACAATGTCAACTGTTATCTATGGTCTTCTTGATTCCTCATCTTTTATTGTTCTTGCTCCTTAATAATGTTTCTCTTTTACTTATTCTTTCACACCCAGTAACACCTTGTGTCTTAGTGGCTTTACTGCCTTGCTTGGGGTGAAATGATTAAAAAAAAAAAGAAAAAAAAGAGACATATTGAAAATGAAAATGTATGCCCATTTCTAAACTTTTGAGTAGTTTTCTTTTCTCTGTTACTAGGTCATTCAGATGATCAGAAAATGATATTTCTTTTCACATTAGAAGTAATAAACCTTTCAAGTCTCTGTATGTCAGGGAGATGCTGTTTAGACATGTTACTGCCTAAGTAGTGACTCATCCTTAGTAATCTCTCCAAAAGATTGATTTGGGCATTTTTCAGAAGAGAATTTTGAATAGCCCAACAACTTTGAAGAGGAAGCAGTTTACACCCTGTTTTTTTGATTAGTAGTTGCTATCTAGTGAGCTTACCTATTTTAGCCCTGAAATTATATCAACTTGTTAGTTGATTTAAAACTTAACAAATACAACTTTATAAATGTATTTGAAAGGACTCCAGTCTGATACCTCAAATAAGGATCTTGAATACATAGTATGGGAACAAGCTATGTTAATTTTATATGAATCGCTTACGCACTTATAAAAATTGTTATATGCCATCTCTATGAAAACTGCTTGGGATCATTAAATGGGTAAATCTGTCTTTGAAATGAATTTATGTTTTTCTTAATAATTAGCTAGGGTACGTTAAGAGAATAAAGGATGGATAATTAAAATTCTGTATGTAGAACAAGTAAATAGCATTGAGTTGATTGACTGATTTTTTTGATGGCTTATCGACTGATTTTTTTGATGTCTTATCAACTTTTTCAGGTTATTTAAATCCTGATAATAGGTTTAGATTGTAAGAAGTTTTAGGGATAATAATGATACAAGTTTTACTAATTAATCTATATGTAGGGGAGAAGAGGTAGATTCATACCTATGTGAAGGGGAGTATTTGTGTGTGAGTAAATATAATGAACCCAACTTGAAACTGGAACTGGAATTTGTTTCTGATTTTTAATTCCAAGCCGTTATCCATTACACTATCTGCACATTTAAGCTTGCAGCACCTCGAGTTAGTGGAAAAAGGCTGTAATAACAAGTGGATTAAAAGACTAGTGATAAAAAAAAACTCAAATACTAAGAAAGGCCCTTAAATGAGAAGAGATTAAGGTCAACAAAATTTAAGATGTAAATTAAAAAACAAGATCATTATTTTACATTCTCATTAACTAATAAGTTGTTTGCATTCTTAGTGGAGTCACTGCAAGACACAAAGACCATGATTGCAAGACTTATAACCTTACAACATTGACAAATAGAATGTAAAAGGCCTTTATTCATGTGCTAATTAAAAAAAAAGAAGTTTAATAAAAATAGGACATAAACATCTTTATTTGTGTATTTACAGATTGTGACATCTATCAGAGAGATGGAATTTAAATTTTTATTGTTGCATTATTCCAAAATTTTAACACATCAGCAGATAGCTATTAATATCAACAACTGAGCACAAATAGCTATTAATTAAAAAAGAATTAATTAATGTATAATTTTAAATTTATTAATCAATAAAATCAGAAGGGTCAGAAACACTTTTGTATCCAAATTTTTGTAAGAATCTTTGTGTAGTTATGTTCGCTTTTAAAATCTTTTTCATTATTTTCATTAAAATTAAGATAGCTACAACTTAGAAGAAAAAACATAACATCTTTTGCAACAGTCCTTGTTTTTGATAATCTTTTATCTCTAACAAAAGAGCGTATTTCAAATATTACATCATGTGATATTATTCCTTTTATATCAGGCCTTTTCCATGGGATGCTAACACATTTTAAAAGTTAAAAAATAACCATAAATATGTAAAAAATGCATATATAGCTGTTTGTGCTATGTGATAATGCTTATTACCTAAACAATAATAATACTGAATAATTTTTTTCTTAAACATTAAAGTATATTTAATCACGTCTCCCTAATAGCTGTCATGATCTGTTAATAATAACCAGTTTCTCACATCTTCTCCATTCACTATTATTGTGATGATATTTTAGCCAATGTAGTTTACAGTTGCCCTTAATTAAAATGCTCTACATGTTATCAAAAGCTAAATAATATGTTCTGCTTTACAAAAGGCTGAATGTAAAAGAACCAGAAAGCAAAGAATAATGTGAAAAGAATATAATATATTTTCTCTGTGCAGATAATATATGTAAACTCTACTTTAACTCTTTGATACCCACTGTAAAACTTGGCAGTGAATGCTGGACAATCTCCTCACAGATGAAGAGATGAGTGAAGGTAATAGAAATGTGGTTCGATAGAAGTATACTGAAAATTCCTTGAACTGAACATGATGAAGAGATGACTGAAGGTAATAGAAATGTGGTTCAATAGAAGTATACTGAAAATTTCTTGAACTGAACATGTAAGAAGTCATAAGGAAACTGGAAAACACAAAGGACACTTAGAATCAGAAAGACATTGCTGAAATTTCTTTAATATATAATGAAGAAGGTGGGTTTGGAGAATTTGACCTTCACATGGTATATTGAGAGACAGAGGGGAATGCAACAGGCCACTTATCTGATGAGCGTGTGTGAATGGATAGTAGAATGGAGTGGGGAGATTGGGTAATGGGACAAACGTTGCTAAGGTTGGCTGGTTGATTGTGTTTAGTGGTATATCAACCTCTATGTGTTATTTAATGCTGAAATCTAAATATTTTGAACATAATTTTATGCTTTCAACTACAGATATTTTATACATAATTTTATACTTTCAGAGTAAAGGTATATACTCTGTAGATCATAAAATGTATTATTGGTAATTTTACTATAAAAATGTATTTTTATATTTTTTTTAGTGTTGCATTGATTATCATTTTGCTATAAAGTTGTATTGCTGCTCATTTTATTATAAAAATGTACTGTTGATTTTTGCTTGGGAGTTTACTACTTGTCCCTAGCTGGGACCCTAATAGCTGCTACCACTCCCCAAAACCTCCAATCTCCCGATCAGAAGCCTTGCTGCCAGATGTAGTTTATTGTCAAACCTAAGAGCTACAAGATATAGGAGGTTGTGGAGAGTCATGATTGCTCGCATCCTGAAAGCACATGTTATGTAGGTATTAATTATAAAAACTGAAATAAAAATCTAGTGTTAATTATAGGCTTCTACCTATAACCAATTAACGTCTACCGTTCCATTTTTGTGAGGATGGCTATCAATGGGTTAAAAATTAATGAAAAGAAAATAGATTAAAGAACAAAATGTATCTAGAAGATATTTTATAAAAATAATATGGACTGGTGCCCCCACTATTAATCTCAAGGTCCTCGACAAAATCCAAAGGTGGATATGCTGATCTGGAATCCCGTCTACAGTCACTATCTCACAGATGTGCTGTGGCTTCCCTCTGCCTTTTCTACAAGTACTTTCATGGCAACTGCTCAGATGAGCTACTTTCACTGGTTCCCAAACTGCATGAATTTAAGTGTGCTATTAGGTTGGCATCTCGATCCAGACCCTTTCACTGTCAAAACGACTAAATGTAGCCACCTCTTCTACTCCAACAACTTCTTATCTCTTACCTCCCCTCAGTGAAACCCCCTTCCTATTACTTGCTTCTCTGATAACTGTAATCTTCAAATATTCAAATGTAATGTCAATCAACATCTTCTGATGCCTTGACCTTGATCCTTGTCCTTCTCTTTATCCTTTTCCCAAACACTCCTCTTTACTCTTACTCTCTGTAACCCTTTGTGTGCACTCCTGCCTTGCTTGGGGCAATTTGCTCAAAAAAAAAAAAAAAAAAATAAATTAAAACTTTGATTAGAAAGTATAATATTAAGTTCACAAGGCTTCAGTTAATATATTTAGAAATTTATATGATGCGAAGGTTTAATGTTTTTCATCTTAAATTGATGCCTCTGTATTCAGACTATGGTTTCATTATACAAAGAGTATATCAAACCAGGAAAAAATGAAGTAAGGCTTACAATATGTGATTGTTATATTTTGTTTTATACTTGATTTTAATTAAATAATATTCTTTATCTTTTCACATCATTCATACAAGAGATCATCAAATATTCACATCAATCAAAACCATCTTATCAAGATTATAAAATAGTAAAAATTTTTTTTATAAAAGTGATATTTTTTTCAAGAAAAAGATCTCCAAACTTAAATTTATAAGCAGTGTACAAAGTCAGGCTAGACACTCTTTTAACTTATTGTAATCTGAAAAAGTTTAAAAAATCAGTAACAATAATACATTTTCCATCAGAAAAGAATAGGTTAATTAAAAAGAAAAAAACAGAAAATTATAAAAAAAAAAACACTTACTACAAAATTAGGATCTTTGAAAATAGGAATTCTTTCTACAATTTCTGTTGTGGCTATCAAAGAACTTTCATCGTCTTCAGTTTGCTGGGGTGGTGATGGTGGAGGCTGTAATAGAAAAAAATAATTTCATAAAATGATTGTTAAAAGAACAATAAACATTTAAGGATAAGCTAATCATGTTATATAAATCAATTTTAGATATGATAAAGTAAAGAAAATGCTTCCTGAATGGAGACCAGAATATAAACAATATTTTTAAAAATGTCTCCTAGAAATGGAAATCTAATGAGACATTAAAGTAAGAATTAAATATGGAATTCAATATATGATTGCTATTAACTTTTCTTCTTCTTTGTGCTGTGTTCCTTCAGGATGTGGGTGATCATGGCTCTCCACAATTTCCTGTCCTTTGTAGCTCTTAGTAAATTTTTTCTCTGTTCTGCCAACCATTTACACAAGCTTGTTAGGTAGGTTATGTGCTGCTTTCCTCTATTTCTCTTGCCTTCAATATGTCCTGTGTGTGTCAAATTTTCTAAGCTCTCTTTCCTCATTAAATTTCAACTCTGTCTTTCTGATTCTAAATACAGGGTGCGACAGAACTACCTCACATAATAATAGTAAGACAGCTAGATGAAGACGCCATTGCTGCTAATGTCTTACCATTATGCGGGAAGTATTTCTGCGACACCCTGTATAATTGAAATCCTTTTCAAATCTACATGTAAAAGTTTATTTTAAGGTATCAAATGCAAGCAAGCCACAAACAAATGGCCATTGAAATTGTATTATGTTATGAAAAACTACTCACATGAGGTGTCACATTAAACTGTTTACTGTAAACATCAGGCAGAAAGATATTAGTCTCAAATTAAAATATGTTAAAGTGAAAGTTAAGAAAATGTTAACTATATTTCTGTTTAAATTTCAGACATGAGATAGTGTTTATTCCATGATTCTTATGAATTCTTTGTATCACAATATTTTAGTAGGAGTGTACTGGCTGAGTGGAGGAGATGCTATAAAGGAGAAAAAGCTGACAATTGAGTTCAAATAGCATAATTTGATTTGATTATTTTTTTTATGGCTTATCAACCTTTGTGGGTTGTTTATTTTGGATTGTAAGAATAATTCTATTTTATGAGAGTGAATATTGCGTATTCATTTTTTGGGAACAACAATGATTTTCACAGACACACATCCTACTCTTTAAGCCACAGGTGGAGTAAGGAGATGAATTCATACTTTTCCCAAGGGTATTTGCACATGTGAATGTAACAAACCCAACTGGGTTTTGAAATTGGCTCTCCAATTTCTCACCCTGAGCTGTTATCTGTTACACCACCCACATATCATCAGATCCCATAAAAGGCTTGAAGACGTAACCAAAAAAGGACAGCAACAATATAGTTCCCTGGATGAAACAAAGAATTCTATTTAAGATTTCTTGAAATGTACTCGATGTATTTGAAGTAAGTTAGTACTTGTTTGACCTATGAACTTGCTGAAAGGTGGAATATATCTTGCTGTATTCAAGATGTTTTTTGCTATATTTTAAGTGTATAGTAAGCAATAGTTTTACAAAATTCTGTTAATTAATCCTTAATTTTATTCATTTATTTTGATACTAATATCTAGGATAGATATTTGATTTTTGTAGTGTCATTAATTTCCTGTCTTATATTTTTCATTAAAATGGTGGATTGATGATAAATTGATAAGAAAGGTTTAAAAATGTTTTCAAAACTTATTGAAATACTTAAAATTATTTTTCTTTTTATAGATTGGCTTTAGGTTATCTTTCAAATAAAACCAAAACTTTACTAAAAAGGAGACATTTAAATTTTATTAAATGCATTTTTAGGAGTTTTTTGGCAGTACCTAGTTTTAAGTGAGCAAAAGTTTCTGAGCATTTGTCATTTGCCTTTTTATATATACAGAAGCTTGCAAATCATCTGTATCAAATATAGTTGAGAGTGTTGCTGTTTTTACGGGCAAATTGAAAAGGATATTTTCAACACTCTCCTCCATGAGGGTTCCAATTCAGGTCATGTGAATTTCCTTGTTATCTGCTAAATACATTTTTTTTGTCTTTAATGAGTCTTTTTATGGATTCATTTTCTTCAACTTATCAACACTTTGCAGGTTATTTAAAGCCAGAAAATATTTTTAGATTGTAAGAATTTTTTTTTGAGATAATAATGATTTTAGTGATACAAATATACTAATTAACCTAGATCTAAGGGAGAAGAGGTGGATTTCATACCTTTCCTGAAGGCATTTGTGCACAATTGAATATAACGAACCTATAGGTGAAGCACAAATAAGTAAGAAACACCTACACATAAATAGGATCAGAATCACTAAAACAAAAACTTTTGTACAAATTAGAAAAAAATAAGATCCAAAATTAAATAAGTGGTTTCTGGAATTTGATTGGACAGTGCAGTTATGCGCGATGTTTCCCATTATATTTGAACTCCAAATGACCTGGTCACTGGGTGCTATCCCATGTAAACTGAAAAGCTTTTGTTTGGAGGCAATCATGTGATCAGGATAACTATATATATATATATATATATATATATATATATATATATATATATATATATATATATATACATACACACACTAATTTTGGGGATAACAAAAAACACACAGAGCAAAGACTCAGTCAGCAACTGGATGTGGATCACCTGTCAATGACAGGCAGTTGGATCTGTAAACACCCAACCAGAATTCAATTCTCTTGTTACCATGACAACACTTCAGTCAGTGACGACTACACACCATTCAAAGGAATAGTCACACAATTCAAAGAAATATTCATAGCTGTGGAAACAAGTAAGTCTTATTATCTATCTGTATGACCATTTCTTTTTGGAACCACCATAATCTGATTTCACATATTAGCACACACACACATTTCTACTAATGTGCTTCACTGACACATATACATTCAGTCAGCAGCCATGCATATATTCCGTTAAAATGTGCTTCAGACACATGCACATATATACACATATTTTCCAAGGCATATGACATTATGAACTACCCTTTAACAAATGGAAAATTTTGTTGAACATTTGAACTTTGGATTTTTTACAACCAGAACAAACACAATGTTTACCATGTAAAAAAAAATGTTAATGTGTACATAAATATACAATTATTTCTTGGTTTTTTGCCTATGTAAAAAAATCATTTCTTTGCATTATGTTGTATTTGTGGGTATGACACTTGGACAAGGAGGAGAAACACAGGGCCCTGGCCATTGTGCTTGGGCAGGTTATGTATTGAGTTATGTGCCCATTTATTTTTGTCTGCCAACTGGACACTATTTGGGCTTTCCTATCCATTCTTACTTCTGGCACTCTTTCCCTTATTTACTTCCAGCTACTTCAGATGCTTACTTCCAGCATTCCTAGCCTTTATAATTTCTGGCTACCACAGACTCTTATCATCATTCCTGACCCTTATTACTTCCGGCATTTCTATTGCAACCTAACTCACTTGGTCGATCAGCATTGAAAGACCTGCTTGCATAGGCCTAAACTTCCAGCTATGCCATGGTCTCTACTTCCGGCATCTGTATCTCAACCTAACTCAACTGGTTGATTGGCATTAATGAACCTGCTTACAACAGCCCTAAACTTCCAGCTACACTAGGTCCCTGCTTCCGGCTTTCTTGTCAACCTAACTCATTTGTCTTAGGAAATTGCTGCATGCATATCATTCAGATTTCAAATAAACTACTCTGTACACTTCAGTGAAAATATTACAGAAGGTTCATCATTGGATTTAACTAGCAACATTTTAATACTTTTGCCGGACATGTGAACTGAAATTTCAAAAGTTTCATTACTTGATTCTTTGCTTGCTCATGTTCCTTTAAACAAATCACTACTATTGTATACAATGTAAATAAATTTTGTATTAATTTTAAATATCCTCGTTCTGTTGTCCATTTTTGTTCCACCTGTCAGATTTTGTATCTTTTATTTTTAAAAATGTTAGTGGGCCTCTTGTGCCTTATTGGGGTGCACAGGCCATATTATATTGGGGGTCCACTATAAGGTATTTTTTAAGTTCAGTTATTCTTTTTACAACACCCATTATGATTATTACAGAATAATAATACAAATACAAAAAGAAACTACTTAATTTAACAAGATATTATTTACCTATGCTGTTATGCTGGCATATTTTGCTAAGCTTTTGAGGATCTTTTCTGTTAATTCATCCCAAAATAAAAAGAATTTATATTTACTAAAATTCACACCAAAATCTTCCAGATCAAGGCCTTTCCATTGCACTCTTGTTAGGTTGACATTTGTGATTACCTCATATGCAGGCAATTCAGGTGTGCTATTTCTAAGTGTGGGGTTGGCATTCGTGCTCATCCTGATAAACAAACCAAAAACAGATTTAAAAAAAAAATTTTTTTCAATTGTAAAAAATTTCCTGTAAGTACCTCAAATATCATCTGCACTTACGTATTGTGAATAACATTCTGATTTTTGGTAATTTTTCATACGGAGAGTTGGAGTTGTGAGGCAGGCTAAACAAATTTTGATTTAAAATTTATAATTTCAAAAGAGTGCCAAAATTTTAATAAAAAACAAACTGTGATTTAAAATTTACAGTTTCTTGGGGTGAATTAATATTTGCCATAAGTAACTTTACATTATTTGGAAGGAATTAACAGAAAAGATACAATTTTGATATTATGAAACAGTTTTCACAGTGAGTTTTTATTTATTTTTAATTATTATTACTGAATTTGTTTTTTTTGTTGTATTTCTCAGATTCATAAATAGCTTAGAACAGTCATAATGAAGACACTGCTACTTGGCATTGCCAGTTATAGGGAAATAACTATACAGCAAAATTACAAACAAAATCTTATATGTGGACTTGGAATATATAATAATAATGTCAAGGAGGAGGGAGCAGACTGAATGTGACTAACCCCCAACGAAGGAATAGGCAAAGATCTACATGATCTCAATGACCAAACTGGTAGAAGAGGGCAGCACCAGTCGGGCTGGCATAACCAAAACTGACCTTGACAGATCATACATTTGACAGCCCGATGCAACCAGGTTTGCCAGATCTCTCAATCCCCTTTTAGCTGCAAGGAAGGAACTTCTGGCCAAGTGTGTGGGCTTCCCTATCATGTAGAGTTGTCCACCAAATCACATTCATGCAAATGGCCTCGTCAAACTCTCTTTGATTCACAGTCATTTCTGCCACCACCATCAGGAGAGAGAAAGCAAATAGGGAGAGAGGATGATGATCCAGATGCAAGTGGGTGTTGACACCGGTAAGAAAATAAAATAGATTACTTTCATGGATTTTACACATAGAATTCTCAAATATTTTTAATATATATAAATTACAAGACACACTCCATTTTATTCAGTTTTTTTCAATAAGTAGAATTTCAAGATTCGATTATGTGAGCGAAATTTATGACACACACACACATACATATATATATATATATATATATATAATGAGATTGAGATTAAGTAAAAAATTATACTTTCACCATAACATATCTTTAGGTTTATCATGTTGCCTTCTGCTCATGAGTGCTCATAGTTGGTACTATTGCGCTGATTTTATCAAAGTTTGAGCTTGATCATGCCACTTTATCTTGCTGCTAGCAGTGTGCACCGAGGAGGGGGCAAACAGATGGTAGTCATTTTTTAATCCATTGTACTTTTTAGATTTTTATGCTAGCCTTGTGGGTGGGTGACAGTAAAAAACTACTATTGACTTATGTCCTTGATGATAAGTCACAAGCATAAATAAATGTTATTTTCACTGTTTTAAGCTAAAAATATGAATTACTTTTAGAAAATCCACTCAATTAATAATTCTTTTAAATATACTAATTTACTTCAAAACAAATCTCTAGGACAAATACTAGATTTTTAGGAGATTTTTACATTTAGTGTCATCATTTTTCATCTATAATGGAGCTTTGATCAGTTTGTGTGCCAATGTTTTAAAAACTTCATTTACATACAGGAATTTATTTTCATTTTTTTAATGGATTAGCTTTTAAATAAAATTAAAAAAATAACTTAAAAAAAGACATCTGCTGAATAAAAAATATCTTTATTTTTTTATGAAGTCCTTTAGTGGTGTCTAAACCAGTATGGTAGTGAAAGATAATTTTTTATAAAATTTATCTCTCTTGCCGAATTTATTTTTCCACATTAATTTTTTTTTTTAGATGAATGATTGTCATCATTATTGACTTTTTTTTTTTGTTTGTCTAGAGATTTTCGTTTTTCAGTGGAAACGGGCAAACAATAACAGAACTGGGTACTAAAGAAAAAACTAGATACGAACGATGTCCCTAGACACGATCAGTAAAACCAGCTACCCTCCGTAGCTACAGGGAATTCTGAACTGGACCTTTTATTAAAAAGTCCAGTTCAAAACTCCCTGTAGGTTACTCAAGGCCGGAGGGCACAACGACCGAAACGTTATGATAACTATAACAACAACAAAAATGAGGACCGAATATAAGACTAAAACTGAAAACACCTCATCCCAGAAATTCAGACAAAAAAATATTTCTCGTACTTTTCTTTTTTTGAAGGAGGACGGTTACATTTTAAGACTTTCACATATACAAAAATAAAAACACGAGAAAATTGGATTTAGAGGAAAAATAACAAAAATCTACTAAATAAAAATAAAGTAGATTCAAAACAAATTAAGCCCCCTGAGTGTGGTCCGAAAGTTTTGTCATCCTTACATAATATTTCAACGCGCTCTGTTGGGTATTATCAAGGAGAGAGTTTCACATGAACGATTTAAGAATACCCATCAGTTGAAGGATGTCGTTCTGAGAGCCCTTTTCAACAATCAACAAAGTACAGCTTCGTACTAAAATATCATACAGAACATACATGGCGTAGCATTAGTGTTCATACAGACCTTCTCAATGTATGACAGCATCAATGAAAGTTATAAAACAGAATCCAGAATATGTTTTTTGTATTACTTATTCTATTTTTCTCAGTACTTTTTTTTTTGGTAGGAGGTGACAAGACTTTCGGACCGCCTTGTAGGTTGCTATGTTCAGAAATTGATAAAATTTTCTTTTAAATTCACAAACTTTTAGATATTATGAATACACATTTTGAGATATTAACTCACAGGGTTTATTTTTCTCTTTTTCGATGAGGTTTGTGCAATTCCCTGACCAGTGGTAGCCGAATTTTTCCCTTTTGTTGATTTCCTTTTCGCTGGACTCTTTAAGGCAGTCGCCATGTTTGTGTATATGGAAGGAATTAGAGAGTAAATAGTTTCGTACAAATGAAATAAAACATTAAAAACAATACAACTTTATATCAGAAAGTATACAAATAAATTTATTTTAACTGTTACTTATATATGTATGCATATAGGTATAAAAATACATATGTGTCTACGCGTGTTTTTATTTTACTTTACGAAACTAGCAATTATCAATCTCTACTATCTAAAAATTGTCACATGGCGATAAAATCGTTGGACAACGGTAAAAATATTTGTATATTTTTTCTTTTAGCTTATTCATTATACATTCTAAATTATATACAACTCATTTTCAGATCTCTTGAACATTGTTGTTTGTCTCAGTTGTAATCACAGGGAATTTCAAAAATTTAAATTGTTTTGTTAAAATGATGTTTAAACCACAGTGTCCGAATTTTTTGCGCTGGCTAAATTGAAAAAAATGAAATTCTATTAAAAATTGACATTGTTCTTTTGCAAACTCTAAAAAAGTTAACATTACTGTACTTTGTGATGCTGTTGTTTCAATTAATGGAAAAGACAAATTCGTTATACCAGGAAGTAGCACTTAAAAACTATTATTATTGACTGCTACAAACGATTTGCTTCTTTTTCATGTTTACTTTTTTTTTTTTTTTAAACTAACCTCATATTCTGGGCCCTCCTTCAAATTTGAAAAGTTATGCATAAAAAATAACACGAAAAATACTGTCTTCAGTGTAATAAATTTATCTTAGCTATTTTTCCGTAAGTAAAATTGAAATTTAATTTTTAATCATTGCATCGATATGTTTGTTTATGGGGAGATATGGGTTACGTAGTGTTAAGTTTATTTTAGCGTATCAAACATTTTGCATACCAAGCACTGATTTACTTCCCTTAAAAATTTCCTTTATTTTCTATTTTATTTTTTTAAATAATTTCATATTCAGAGCCTTCAGGTAATTTATAGTGGTGCTAGTAATTTTGTTTTTGTCATAGTCTTCTTACTCCACCTCCTATGTGTTGAGTTTCTTCTGGACATGGGCGATCATGACTCTCCACAACTTCCTGTTCTTTTTGTAGCTTTTAGTAAATTTTGTACTTTTCTAATCCCTGTTTGTCAATCATTTACACAAGCTCATTTATGAATTTCACTGCCTTCCTTTCCTTTGTCCCTATGTCCTGTGAGTGTCAAATTCTCTAAGTCCTCTTTCCTCATTATGTTCCCCAGCAATTTCAATTATCTCTTTCAGATTCTAAGTACAAGTGTTCTTTTTGTTTTCCATTTTCTCTGTTATTGCTCATATGTTCCGTCCACAATATTCGCAGCATCTTTCTGTAGAACCATATTTCTGTTATTTCAAGTCTTTTCTTCCTCTGCTAGGAGATTAAATTATATCTCAGTTTTTATTTACAGAAAAAATAGATTAAATAAATTGCCGTTTGGTTTTTCCATTTATTTTACGGGGGCATGACTCTGAAAGGCTCTGAATATGAAATGAATTAAAACAAAATAGAGGGAAATATAAGGCAAGTAAATCAATATTCAGTAAGTAGAAAGTGTTTAAAATTTTTTGTTCAATAAACTCATAGAAACAAGAAGCAGTGTCATTGTTTTGACTTCTGACAGCACTTTCCTTCATTATTTTTTTTAATGCCATCTCCCTTCAAGGCATAAGCAATTATAGCTCTCCACAGAATTTGAAAGATATGAATCCATTTTCCCTTCAGCTATGGGTTAAATAGTAGGATTTGTATCTAGGGAAATCATTATTCTCAAAAAATTGTTAATGTAATATTCATAAGCAAAAAAAAAAAAAAAACAATTCTTATAATCCAAAATGTTCCAGCTTTAATTAACCCACAAAAAACCCCCCCAAAAAACAAGAAACAATCAATCACAGAATCTGTTGTTTCTTTAATTATCTGTAAATTGCTGTTATTTCTTGGGAAAGATAGTTAAGTGTTGTCCCATTGCTTTGTTCATGGTTTTGAATTCAGTGTTGTCTAGACTGACTGCCACCCAAGGACAGAGAACCCAATTTACCCCACTATTTTACCCATAGCTTGGAGGAGAGAAGATGGATTCATGCTTTTTCCAGGTGCATTTATTTGTGTGAAAGTGGATGCAACAGAAAAGGCTAGAATTTGAACCCAGCCTACTAATTCAACTCCCCATGCTGATAGCCTTTATGCTCTCCACACATCACCTTCATTATAGGATCGGAATAATTATTGGCTCGTATCCATTTATTTATTTATTTTTGTCTTTGTTTGGCCGCGTTTCCACAGAGAGTTAATTCCAGAAGTGTGCTTAGACTATAAAACTAGTTTTAAAATTTCAAGGAATGTAAGGGAGGTAATTTGGTGTTTGTTTGCAGAAATTTTGGCGTGATAAACTTAACAACATCCAAAAATGACATCGAATGGATATTACGAAAGTAAAACTAACATAACCTTTATGCATGCACACACATATAAAATAGTTTACAATGGGGTCTCTATATATATAACCATAATTTGTTATGGAGCCCCATTTATTAACTAAATTGTTCATTTCATCAGTCATTACAGGTACCTTAAAAAAGTGATGTCTAAGGTTTAAATTAAAATAAAAAATCCTTCTTGAAGCAAATATCTTTTAATTCCAATCTAATCGATTAAACTTGATATTTCCAATAAGCAAAATACATAGCTGTATTTCAAACTGAATGTAAATTGACTGGAATATTTTTTTAAATTGCTAAAATCAGCCATATTGTCACCACAACATAATTTTCTTTATTAAAAAATCGTTCAAAAATAAAATATACTGTTTTGAAAATTTATTTGAGGAAGATTAACTTATTTAAAGTTTAATTAATCTGAATGAAAACAAATATTACTTTTAGTTTAAAATATCACTTAAAAGCATTTTTTAATACAGAAGTGTTTTTTTTTTATAAGTGCCATATGTAATACATGCTTAGGTAATTGTGTGTCTTTAGATTCATGAGTGACTAGACAGAAAATTTTCCTACAGTAGTTTGCCATTTCTTTCTGCAGTAGACTGGTTGCCAACAAAGGCTAAAGAACCCATGGCTGGGGGTAGAAGAGATGGATTCATACCTTTCTCAAAGGTATTTGTGCATAAGCTTGACTAGAATTCAAACTTTGTTCTCTGACTTCTCATTCCCAGTTGATATCCATTACACCACAATTCAAGTAAAGGGTACATAATGGTAAAAATTGCTTGACGGATATAACATTAATGCTTTCTCATATATTTTTGTTTTAACTACTCAGTAATCTTAAAAACTTTAGAAAATATTCTAAGTAATCTAATATTTTATTGAATTTTAGGTACTTTGGCTTTATAGTCTTACTTACGAAGACACTTGTTGAGGAAATGTGAAAAAATTACCAATAATTTTAAATTTACTATCATTGTCACTTTTATTTTCTGATAATGTTGTGTATGGACGTCTGATTTACAAAATTCAGCATTTTTATACACACAAGAAAAATCAAAATTCTCTTTAAAACACTGGGGATCCTTGAATTGTAGTACTGGGCTTTCTAACTTTGATAAATCAACCAGTCTTGAAAAAGAAAACCCTGAATTTCAAACTGTAAAGAAGGCAACAAGAAATCACTCCATTATCTTTCTCAGTCCAGGTAATTCATGGATATTAAAAAAAAAAGAAATTTATGGAGAGACATAACTAGCAATGTCCTGAAGGAATATGGTATTTAAAAAGAAATCTAGACAGACATGAGACTTTAATGTATGCAGGTTTTTAGGTTATACTATAGAATAATGGATAGCGGCTCGGACTGAGGAATTGGAAAGCTGAGTTTGAATTCCAGTCGGATACATTACATTCACTTATGTGCTAATACCCTTGGGAAAGGTATGAATCCTCTTCTTCTCCAACCCCAGCTATGGGTAAATAGCAGGACAGACCAGGTTCTATAGCCTTGGATAACAATTGGTCTACTGCAGAAAGAAATGGCAACCTACTGTGGGAAAAAAATCTGCCTCGTCAGTCATGTATTGAAAGATACATGATCACCTAAGCATGTATCATGTATGTGGCATAACTGAATGAGGTTATAGTTTAAAATCTATTGGGGAATTCTGAACAATTCTTTGTCAGTTGACAATAATATTTGAGGGTTGTTTTGTGAGTTGACAAAAATCTGAGAGCTGTTGATAAAATCTGATGACTGTTTTGTGAGTTGATAAAATCTGATGACTGTTTTGTGAGTTGATAAAATCTGATGGCTGTTTTGTGAGATGATAAAATCTGATGGCTGTTTTGTGAGATGATGATAAAATCTGATGGCTGTTTTATGAGATGATGATAAAATCTGATGGCTGTTTTGTGAGATGATGATAAAATCTGATGGCTGTTTTATGAGATGATGATAAAATCTGATGGCTGTTTTGTGAGATGATGATAAAATCTGTTGGTTGAACAATGTTTTATTTCTAAATCCCTATTTTTTGTTATGATTTCAGTTCTATATCAATCATGCCAAAAACAATAAAACGAAAACAGTTGGAGGAATGGCTACAGGATGTTGATGTGTTTGAAAATCCTAAAATTCTACTTGAACAGTATCCAACAACTCCACATATAGCTGGTAAGGTTATTAGAACATTTGGAATTCAGGATTTATTGGTTGGTTTTTGTTTTTCATCATGTGAAATTATTTGATGTTTGAATTGAATGAAACAGATTAATTTCAAATTAAGTTTTTTAATGACCTATCCTTTGATTTGAGCATATTATGAGAGGCATTTTGCTTTGACCAAGAAGGAATTAAAAATTAAAAAAAAGATCTGTTGTTTGATCATTTGGTCAGATTTTGGGTCAACCTGAGAACTTTTCACCCTTACGTTGTCATAGGAACCACTCCATCCTTTCATTTATGACTACTGCTTTATTGATTTTATTTATCTGACCTCCCAACTAAAACAGGATATGACATGGTCTTTTTTTATGTGGGGCGCCCATCTGTGAACA